CAATGCTAGTTATCCTCAAATTTTGAACTTGGGCCTTTTGAATGGGTATAAAAGAGTATTACACTGTGGTCTACCCTGATCACTAATGATGGTGAGAGTGAAAATTTCTTTGAATGTTTATGGATGTATGTGTTTCCTCTTCTGTAAAATGCCCATTCCTACTTTTACCCTTTTTTCTATTGATCTGTTTATACTTTCCTTATTGATTTGCAGAAGTTTGGTATGTATTTCTGATGAGAATTCTTTGTTGATTTTATGTTATTTGTTTAGGTATTGATTCTTGTGTAACACCACCCCAAAACTTGGGCTGATTGGGCTCAGCTGGGTGGTTTTTCTGCTCCATGTGGTGTCAGCTGGAATAACTCAGTTGTATTCAGTAGGTGCCTAGGTAGGACTGGGGGGTCCAAGAAGGCTTCACTGATGTGTCTGGTGCTCTTCCATGCATCCACACCATTTGGTTAGCATGGGTTTTCTCATAGCATGGTGATTTGGGGGTAACTGGACTTTTTACCTGGAGGCTGGCTTGCAAGAAGCAGAATCTGCCAGTCCTTTTAAAGCCTCTGCTCAAAAACTCCAAAATGATACGTCTGCAAATAATAAAGCCAGTCTGGATTCAAGAGGAGAGAATAACCTCCAGGGAAGATAGCCTCCACTTCTTGATATGTGAGGTGGCGGACACATACACGGAGAAGGAATTGATGGCAGCCATCATGAGACACTGTCTGCCACTTGTGTACTGTGAATATCTTCCAGTTTGTAACTTTTCTTTCTACTTCTTTAAGGTGAACCAGTATTCTTTTTTTTAAATTTTTATTCTTTTAAAATTTTATATTATTTTATTTTATATCAGAGAGAGAGAGAGGGTGGGGGAGGGGCAGAGGGAGAGAGAGAATCTTAAGCAGGCGCCAAGCCCAGCATGGAGCCCAATGTGGGGCTTGATCTCACAACCCTGAGATCATGACCTGAGCCAAAATCAGGAGTCGAACACTTAACCAACTGAGCCACCCATATTCCCCTAAGGTGAACCAGCATTCTTAGTTTTAATCTATCTCTTCTTTTGTAACCAGTGCTTTCTTGTTTAAGAAATCTTTCCTTGCTTCAAATCCTAAAAGATACTCCCTGATATTTTGCACTATTGGTTTTAAAGTTTATTTCTGACATTAAGTCCTTAATTCATCTGAAGCTGATTTTTGTCTGTGGCTTGAGTAGGAATTTGATTTTATTGTTTTCTATTGGATATGGAGCTTTTCCCACTGATCTGATGTACCACCTCTGTTATATACTAAGGTTTCCAAAATGCGTGGGTCTGTTTGGGGCTCTTTTTTATCCTGTAGGGCTGTTTCTCTCATCTTGCTCTGTTTTAATTATGACAGCTTCATAATAAGCCCTAATACCTTGAAGGGCAAGTTTCCTCCTTCCTGATCTTCCTGTTCAGCAGTATCCTGGCTTTTCTTGGTTCTTTGCTAGTCCATATAACTTTTAGAATTATCGTGCTCCAAGAAAATCTCTATTGGACTTGTATTGACTTTATAGATCAACTTTGAGGGAGAATTGATAAGTTTTTTATATTATCCTACCCAAGAAAACAGTCATTTCATTTATTTAGATTTTAGAAATTCTTTTAATTAATTTTATTTCTTAAATGCCCTATATGAGTGAAATCATATGGTATTTGTCTTTCTCTGTCTGACATATTTCACTTAGCATAATACCCTGTTGGTCCATCCATGTTGTTGCAAATGACAAGATCTTGTTATTTTTTTATGGCTGAGAAACATTCCATTGTATGTACACACCACATCTTCTTTATCCATTCATCTATTGATGGACATTTGAGTGGCTTCCATATCTTGGCTATTGTAAATAATGCTATAATAAGCTTAGCAGTGCATATATATCTTTTCACATTAGTGTTTTTTTTTCCTTTGGGTAGATACCCAGTAGTGGAATTACTGAATCATATGGTAATTCTATTTTTAATTTCTTGAGGAACCGCCACACTGTTTTCCATACTGTTTTCCAAAGCGGCTGCACCAATTTGCATTCCCACCCACAGTGCACGAGGGTCCCTTTTTCTCCACATCCTCGCCAACACTTGGATTTCTAGTCTTTTTGAGTCTAACCATTCTGACAGGGGTGCTGGTGGTGACATTTCTCTTCACCCCCTCCCCTCCCACGCTAGATAGCCAGGCACTTTTGGGAACTAGTGGGAACACTCTCCACTTATCTTGCTAACACCGTGTGCCCCACCCTTGTGTTCCCCTGCAGATCTGTCCCATCCACACCACCCCATTTGGCATGTGTCCCTCCAAAGCCAGTTCTGCCCTGACATACCCTGCAAACAACCTGAGGAGGGACCAGCACCACTCCAAAGTGACTCCTGCCCTGGGGAGGGGGGAAGATAACCACACACAATGATGCATCTGCAGTCCCAGCAGCCGCTCCTTATAACTAGCAGCAGAGAGAGAGCACCCTGGCCATCAGTGTGACCACGGCCTCACAGACAGACCAGGGGCAGGCAGCTGGTGTGACTGTGCGCTGCCCACCAACAAAAACCTCTCAGGGGACATCACAGGAAGCATGCCCTGCAGTTCGGTGTGATTGCAATCCCGGCAGATGGACTGACAGCAGACATCTGGTCTGACGGCTGACACTGCCCAACTAGGAGCCTGCAGCATCCCCAGATAGGGCTCCTACCAGTACAGGGACCAAGCCCTGCCCGGCATGCCCCCAACAGGCGAAGTGGGCCATTGTACCTGACTGGACTGAAGACAGATGTGGTTCAGCCACAACAGGAAGCTGCATGTAGCCCCCCCGTAGGAAATACCCCTGTAGCACCTGGTTCTGGTGAATGGGGGTATTGCACTAGAGGGCACCACGGGACCTCTTCTTCTTAGACCAGTGGCAGGAAAGAATGTATGTTACTGATTATCCACAATGTCTAATAAACTGGAGTAGTTAGTAGCTGCTAGATGGGGAGGAGGGTTATAGGGTGGTGGTTGACATACTATTTCTGGGGCCCTAGGCTTGAGTCCTGGTTCTTACTATTTACAGTTGGGTGATTCTTGGGAAAATTACTTAACTTATTCACTGTGTTTCCTCAACTGTAAAATAGAGGTGATGGCCTTAGGGTGCAAATATGAAGTACATGGTGCCCGGTGCATAATAGGTGCTCTGTAAATGCTCACTTTATTTGTTAATGTAATTATTTGAAAATTGAGAATCACCAAAACAACACAAAAAGCATCATCTCTATTCCTTATGTCTTCATTATGGAAATGGAGCTAAATGTAGATCATAAGCATCCACATCCTTGGAAGAGATTTGCTTCTAACTACATGTAAATCTTCTAACCTTGGAGGAGCAATAACATAATTCCCTTATCAAATAATTAAATTGGTAAAATTCCCTCTGGGAAAGAATGGGAAAAATAACGATCATTGAAAGGAAAAATATTCATAAATGTTTAGATGTCCTAGCTTAGTTATTAATTACCCTTTTTATTATGATAAAATTTTTATAGAAAGAACCCCTCCCTTTTTTTTTAAGAATTGCTGTGGGATCATTGTTTTATTGGGCTTCTAGGAGGTGTGAGGCAGTGTGCTGGCTGAAGTGTAGTGACAAGCTGGACGCACACGGTCTCTGATCTCAGGAACTCAGGGGGCTGCTTAGCCCAATGTGCCGCTTTTGAGTTACATAAGTCTCTTTATAGAATGTCAAGAGAGAAAGTTGTACATAATATGTCTCCACATACGAGAGACTCCTCAGTTACACACTTGATGAAAACATTTGGTTGCACATTTGGTTACACACCAGGATCAAATTTATCTTTGAACACTTAATTAACTTTCAAGAGGCTCACCAGGGACAGAGCCACCATTGTGTCACAGAACATTCCTGGGAAGACTGTGGCTCTAAATTTGCTTCTTTAAACGCCCTCCTAGATGGTGGTGATGCTCTGAGGTAATTTAATTGGGGAGCAAAGCAGTTCAGTGTGTGAAGCCCACTGCTGGTTAAGCATGATCTTTTGACCCAGTTAAAATGTAATCAATATGTAGGTAAGGCTTTTTAGGTGGTAATGGCTGTAAAATTCTGCATCGCAAACAAGACAAAACAAAACAGAATCAAGAATTTGCCTACCAAGAAGAATAATTCAGTAAGAAGATGAGATGATATCAGTAGCATGAGAATTTAGTAAAGATGATAATACCAAATAGATATCACTCCAGGTGAAAATGGATTCTCATTTATCTATGGGGTTAACTCTCAACTTCTCACTTTGGTATCCTCAGCCAAGATATGATCTCCCCACTTACCTTTCAAGCCTTGTCTTCGATTGCTTACGCTGTTGTTAAGCTGGACCAACTGGCTCCGTGCCTTTGCTCATGCCCGTTCCGCCCCCTGGAACCCCTTCCCTGTTTGCTGGTCACTGACACTTACCAGAGCCCTGTCCATCCTCACCGGCGACTTAATCCCACGTCTTGCACCCCGTTTCCTGAGCCCATGGCATATGTATCACCTGAGACCGGACCTCTATACTCTTGCCATATCCTACTTCCCTTACTGTTATTTGTCTCCTTATCGCCTCCACTGGGACTGCGGACAGGGAGTCTCTTTGTATATCCTAGTGCCTGACCCAGAAATTGCAGAGGAAAATGTAAAGAGTACAAAGGATTTGCTGAAGGAAGACATCTTTGCATCTCAGGTACAACAGGTTCTTCTTAAAATGTCATATAGGACGAGGAAAACATAGCTGTTACACATGGAAGATAAATATGATATGTGTCCTAGAAACATTATAAACAGAGGTATAGGCAGGTGATACAGTTTAAGATTAAGTGAAAAAGAAAAAGCCTTACTACTGTCTTCAGAATACATTATGATCAATCTCAGCAGCTGACGTCGCTAAGCTGTGTAAAGTGGTCTCTGTTTTCGTTAGCTCTTTACTAAATTGATAGAAAAAATTACTTGAAAATAAAAAGAGTTTTTTTTCTCCCCAGGGCCAGTTCTGTGACTATTGCAATTCTGAGGACCCCAGGAAAGCACATCCAGTCACCAACGCAATTGATGGATCCGAGCGATGGTGGCAAAGTCCCCCTCTCTCCTCGGGCACACAGTACAACAAAGTCAATGTCACCTTGGATCTAGGGCAGGTGAGTGATGCTTCCAACTGGAAAGGGGGAAGTTAATTTGGATCATTGCTTCTTTGGTTATTTCTGAAATAATAAGAATTATATTAAAAACCAAACATCAGTTTTAATTCTCTAATCATTGTGAAGCCTGTTACATTAATATTTGCATTCCTCCACGCTCAGCCTGTCATGATGCATACACCCATACCTGTTTATCAAGAGTTAAAAATAGTCAAAAATAGTTTTATTGGCAAAGATATTATTATTATTTAGATTTTATTTATTTGACAGAGAGAGACACAGCCAGAGAGGGAACATAAGCAGGTGGAGTGGAGAGGGAGAAGCAGGCTTCCCACAGAGCAGGGAGCCCGATGTGGGGCTCCATCCCAGCACTCTGGGATCATGATCTGAGCCGAAGGCAGATGCTTAACGACTGAATCACCCAGGTGCCCCTATTAATATTATTTTTGATTATGATAAAGTACACATGACATAAAATGTACCGTCTTGGAACTAGGGGGTTATTATGCTGAGCGAAATAAGTCAATTAGAGAAAGACAAGTATCATATGATCTCACTGATATGAGGGATTTGAGAAATAAGACAGGACCATAGGGGAAGGGAGGAAAAAATGAAACAAGATGAAACCAGAGAGGGAGACAAACCATAAGAGACTCTTAATCTCAGAAAACAAACTGAGGGTTGCTGGAGTGGAAGGGGGTGGGAGGGATGGGTTGGCTGGGTGATGGACATTGGGGAGGGTATGTGCTATGGTGAGCGCTGTGAATTGTGTAAGACTGATGAATCACAGACCAGTACCTCTGAAACAAATAATACATTATATGTTAAAAAAAGAGAAGATAGTAGGAAGGGAAAAATGAAGGGGGGAAATCGGAGGGGGAGACGAACCATGAGAGACTATGGGCTCTGAGAAACAAACTGAGGGTTTTGGTGGGGGAGTGATGGGTTAGCCTGGTGATGGGTATTAAGGAGGACACGTACTGCATGGAGCACTGGGTGTTATACGAAAACAATGAATCGTGGATCACTACCTCAAAAACTAATGATGTGCTGTATGGTGACTAACATAACATAATAAAATAAAATTTAAAAAAAGTACCATCTTAGACATTTTATTTTTTAAAAAGATTTTATTTATTTATTTAGTTATTTAAAGAACGCATGAGTCGGGGGGAGGGGCAGAGGGAGAGAGAATCTCAAGCCGACTCCATACTGAACGTGGAGCCCGACACGGGGTTTGATCCCATGACCCTGTGATCATGACCTGAGCTGAAATCAAGAGTCGGACGCTTAACTGACTGAGTCACCCAGGCGCTCCCCATCTTACACATGTTTAAGTGTACAGTTCGGTAGCTTTAAGTTCACATTGTTGTGCAGCCAGTCACCAGAACTCTTTTTCATCTTGTGAAACTGGCACTCTGTGCCCATTAAACGACAACTCCTTATTCTCCTTTGTCCCCAGCCCCAGGCAACCATCATTCTACTCTCTCTGAATTGGGCAACACTAGTCACCTCATAGAAGTGGAATCCTACAGTATCTGTCCTTTGTGACTGGCTTACTTCACTTAGCATACTGTCTCCTGGGTTCCTCTGTGTCGCAGCATGTGTCTGAATTTCCTTCGTTTTTAAGCCTAAATAACATTCCATTGTATGTATGCCTCACATTTATTTATCTAGTCATCTGTCAAGTGACACTTGAGTTGCTTCCATGTTTTGGCTCTTGTGAGTAATGCTGCTGTGAACATGGGTATGACTAAGATACTTTTCTAGCATTCTCTTTCCCAAAAATCCTGATTCTATGAACACTGACTACCTTTATTTTGGCTTTATTTGGCCAGCTGGTGCACAAGAAAACCCAGCTTCAGACCTATCCTTCTGTGGTATGCTAAAATGGCCCCTGGGATGCCTTCCTCTTAGTGTACAGGCCCAGTGTTATCCCCTCTGTTTCCAGTGTGGTAGGACTATGATGGAAGTCACTCCCTTTGTAAGGTGGCATTACATGACAAAAATGAGGAGATTTTGCACATGTGTTTAAGGTCTCAAGTCAGTTGATCAAAAGGGAGATTATCTTGGAGGATTTCTCCCTAATTAGGGGAGCTCTTAAAAGGGGCTGGGCCCTACCAGAAGGAAAAGATCTGAAGCATGAGAAAATTTCCTGCTGACTTTGAAGGGGAAAACTACCATATTATAAACTACCTATGGAGATGGCCACATGGCAAGGATCTAAGGATGGGTTCTAGAAGCTGAGAGCAGCTTCAGCCAACAGCCAGGAATAAAGCAGGAACCTCAATCCTACAACCATAAGAAACTGGATTCTGCCAACAACACATGCAAACTTGGAAGTGGGTCTTTCCAGGCATCTGGCGAATGCCTGATTGCAGCCACCATGCCCAGACTCCTGAAATACAGAACTGAAAGATCATAAATGGCTTTGTTTTAAGCCACTAAATTTGTGTTCATTAAGCAGCAATAGAAAAACAAATGCACCTTCTTTCCTGTTTCAGACTAGGGAGTGCCTCCTATCTGTTTCACCCTATTCCTTCAACAAGTATTTATTTGTTGACTATTGTATATCAGGCACTGTTCTAGGTATTTGTGTTACATAAAAGAACAAAGGGATGGAGATTCCTTCCCTCATGGGAGACAGCCAACAAAAATATATATCAGTAAATACAATATGTTAGAAGCTGATAACAGCTATGGAAAAAATGAAAAAGTAGATCAGGGTAAGAGGATCATGAGGCCCAGGACAAGGGGAGTTTGCAGTTTTAGGTAGGATGGTCAGGCGAGAGCTTTTTGAACAAAGACTAGAACCGGTTAAGGCATTCATCATGCAGATATCAGTCACCCAGACAAGGGAACAGCCCTGCAAAGTCTCTAAGGTGGGAGCTTGTCTGGAAGGTGTAAGGAGCTGCATGGAGGCCAGGATGGCTGGAGCAGAGTCAGGGAGAGGGCAGTGGTGAGAGAAAAGGCCAGAGAGAGAACAGACAGGGCCAGATCAAGTAGGGCTCCTAGGCCATAATAAGGACTTGGACTCCAATGTGAAATGAGAGTCATTACAGAGTTTCAAGCAGAGGAATTATCTAATCTGATTTAAATTTAAGAAAGTATTTCTCTGGCTGTTCTGTTGAGAATTATCAGGGGGCAAGGGTAGAAGCCAGTTAGGAGACTGTCATCGTAATCCACAAGAAAGATGCCATTAGGGGGAGTGGAAGGGGTGATTGTGTCCTAGATATATTTTGAGACTAGAGCTGCCATGATTTCTGAATGGGTTGAATGTGAAGTGTGAGAAGAGAGGATTCCAGATGATTCCTAAGACTTTTGGTCTGAGCAACTGGAACTGCTGTTTGCAGAGATGTTGGAGACTCTCTGGGTGGGGGGAAGAGTTACTGTGGATATGCAAGCACTGAAATACTGTTTGGATGTCCCAGTGGAGTTGTGGCCCACACACTGGGAGATACGAGACTGGGAAGCTGGCTGGGCTGGAAGGGATGCTTGTCAAGGATTTCTGTAGGATTTATCATATTCAGGATCTCTCAGCTTCTTGGATCTGTATATTTATACCTTTCATCATCTTTGGGCTATTTTCAAACGAACCTCATTTCTTCCTTTTCCAGCTTTACTGAGGTATCATTGACAAATAAATTATATATGTTTTAAAGTATATCATGTGATGATTCAGTAAGCATATACTTTGTGAAATGATTACCATGATGAGGTTAATTAGCACATTCATCACCTCACATACTTTTTTGTGAGTGTGTGGTGAGAACACGTAAGATCTAGTCTCTTAGTAAACTTCAGGCATACAATACAGTGTTATTAACTATAGATACCATGTTGTACATTAGAAACCCAGAACTTAGTCATCTTATAACTGAAGGCTTGTACCCTTTGAGCAGCATCTCCTCATTTCTCCCACTCCCTAGCCCCTGCTAACCACCAATCTACCCTCCGTTTCCACGAGTTCAACTTCTCTCTTTTTGGAATGTTGATGATATTGTTAGATCTTTTATTATTGTTCCACAGGTCCCTGAGGCTCTGTTCATTTGTTTTTTTCAGTCGCTTTTCTGTTTTTCAGATTAGGTAATTGTATTGTTCTATCCTGAAATTCCCTGATTCCTTTTTTCTTTCATATTTGTTCTCCTATCTAGCCCATTTAGTGAGTTTTAAATTTTAGTTATTGTATTTTTTCAGTTATATAATTCCCACTTGGTTTTTTTTTTTAATCTTCTGTTCCTTGGCTGAGATTTTATATAATTTAATTTACTTCAAGAATATTTATACTTACTGAAACATTTTGCTACTTTAAAGTTTTTGTCAGATAATTCTGTCATCTGTTTCATCATCTCATATTGGGGTCTGTTGATTGTTTTTTCTCATTCAAGTTGTTATTTTCCCCTGGTTTTTGGTATGATGAGTGATTTCCAGTTGTGTTCTGGACATTTTAGATATTATATTAGGAGACTCTAAATCCTATTTAAATCTCCCAGCTTTTAGCAGATGGTCACCCCATTTAGGTTTAATATGTAGGTTCTGGCCTGCTTTTGCAGCTTGTTGTTCCAATGACAATTTTGTTTTCAGAGCTGGTGCATACTACTAGTCTGCTGTGTTCATCTGGTTTCTGGGCTCCTGCTTGGTTCCCATTAGTGCTGTCGCCTCTGGAGCCAGAATGAACTTCTCCTTATCCAGTGACACTTAGTAGGGGTTGAGGCACACTGGACCTTCAGGGCAGAGAGTGCTTCCCCAGTGCATTATCCGAGGCTGCCTCATGCAGGTGAAGCTCCTACTGAAATAGACATTTGGAAATCAATGGCGTATAGATTGTGTTAACCTACGAGACTGCATGAGAGTGAGAAGAGAAGAGGATCTAGGGCTGAGCCATAGGCTCGCCAATATTAAGAAGTCCTGGAAAAGAGAAGGAACCAGTAAAGAAGACTGGTGTGGAATGACAGATGGGAAGAAGACAACTAAGAGAGTGTGGTGTCCTAAAGGTAGGT